AACAGTATATTATATTATATTATATTATATTATATTATATTATATTATATATTATATATATAATTTATATTATATTTTATATTATTATTTTATATATATTATACAGTATATCTTCTTCCGTTTCAAATCTCAGCATAAGTATATACATTTTAGCAATCACATGTTCATCATTTTTACACAATTCAATTTCAAATTCCATTTTATGTTTTTCAATTCCAATTATTTTTTTTATCTGCCATCAGGTTGTATCTTTCTAATTCTAACATTCTTTGAATTGAATCAATAAGGAATGCATGTACTAATGTGCCCCAACTTGGTGGGGTCACTCCAAATCATTCAGACTCCAAATCTGAATTCACAATCTGACCAATGTAAAAAGTGCCATGGAAGTGTGAATCCTTAACTTTGCCGACAATACAAGATTGGGAGACCAAAATTGGAGAACATGTAGCAGTGGCAAAAGAGACAGTATATATCCATAATAGAAGCCGAACTAAATTCAAGCAGGAATGGCTCCCTTACATATGACACATTACACAGCAAGGCAAATTCAAACATTTGGAATATAGTTTTTAGGGAAAGAGTTAAGGGACCAATCAAAAACAATAGATGAAATTATTTTAACAGATACTAGCAATAACCTCCAACATTTAACATTCAAAATACAGTACAAATACTTAGGTAGCGGTTAGTAGTTGGAGAAATAAATGGAAAGAAAGGGGAGAAAGCATTACTATTTTTTTTCATAATGTTTTTACTTATGTTTTATTGGTAGTTGTTTATCTTTTACTTTGCTTTTTGTATCTTTGTTCTTGTGTGATTTCTGTTTAATAATCTTTCAAAGTTTATGCAATTAAAAAAAGGAAAACAGGAAAGTGTGAATCTTCTTTGCTTTGCCTCCTTCCTTTCATTTGCCTCCAAACACAAGCATCTGTTGGGGGGAGGGGGGCAAGTGGCATCATGTATCATGATGTCATGACTTGAATTATGTCATTTGGAACACAAGTTGCGTTTTATGCCATTTGTATGATGACATCATGATGCATGTGACATCATTGTGGCTTTTTATGGATGCTTATGTCTCCTAAATTTGGTATTCACAAGAATGCTTCAATACAACAATGTTTCATGTCTGTTTCTAATTTCAAGCTATCTCTAAAAATAGTTTCTAATGGACTGAAAGTTCAAGTTCTCGATCTTTCTTACACCCTTCAGCTTTCCCAACATTTTTTTGTTCTTTCATTGTCCATCCATTAATCAGAGCTGGCCCTAGATTTGGGCAAAGAAGAAGAGTGACATTCTTGCTTCAGGCAGCTTATTTTAAATAGCACGATGGGACAACAAATATTATTTGATTTATCTGTTGCTGTTTTTCACAAGGGAAAACACAAGCAGAAACATCAGGGAACTTTTTTTTACATGCTTTTTCTATTATGCATATTATATGGAGAAGGAGTATTATTTGCTTTTATTTGTTTATTTGAAAAGCACTTCAGTCAACAGACTTGAAGCAGTGAACAAAAACAGCCACCACAGCTGATGTGGCCATCATCATAATAATATACAATACTGTATATTAGTAAACAAGTCTGGTCTTATAATTACAGTTAAAATGCACTATTGATTATAGAAAAGTAATTAAAAAATTCTTGGCAGCATTCTTGGCTTTACCACACTCACATCCCAAAGGTCTTCTGGAACAGCCAAGTTTTTACGAACTTCTGGAAGACCAAGAGCTAGTTTGGTCTATTCTGCCTCAGGCATCTATTTCTAGGGATGCCTCTGTGGAAGAGGTGACTATTTCTTGAATGAACTAATCATTTCTCCACCAGAAAGCCCAGAAGGAGAGCAGAATCTGGGTATATTGTAAACTGCAATAATAATTATTTGGCTATAACCTGGGGTCACTTACTTACTGAGGGTCTGAGTGATATAGACTTTTTTATTTAAATTACCTAGTTGAGGGTCAATCTCTCTGCTTTTAATTCAGGATTGCATACATTAATTTGAAGAAGACAAAGAAAAAAATAATGCATCAATTTCAAAAACAGAACAGGGGAAAATACAGTGGCCTTTAAAATTTGTATATACTAATTTATCTGTAGAACAGTAACTTTAGAAAGATTTTCTTTTGCACTTGACTCCTGGTGTCTGCCTGGACCAGTCCCTGCAGGTTTTTTTTAGCAAGATTTTTCAGAAGTGGTTTGCCATTGCCTGTTTCCAAGGGCTGAGAGAAAACAACTGCTTTTTGCTTAAGGCAGAAGTAGAACTCACAGTCTCCTAGTTTCTAACCTTGTGCCTTGACCACTACACCAAACCAACTCTCATTTAGAAAGAATTATTGTAACCTAAAAATTACAGAGGATGACCTGCAGCAAGGTGGATGGACTCAGTTACAGTGGCAATAGGTGCACCACTGGAAGACCAGCTTAGAGACAGATCATCACGGAGAAAATCTATCTGTGTGGTTACTAAGAATCAACAATGATTTGATGGCACATAATCAATCAATCGATCAATCACTCAATGAGTATGTGTCCTTGTGTAAGTGTGTCTGTGTGAAGCAGGAGAAAAGAGGTTCTTGTTATCTAGAAACCATGACAGTTCAGGAAACGACTTTGATTGAACGATGCTATTTGCACTCTAATTAGTCAACTGTAGAAGGCATTAGTTCCTGGTGATCTCAAAACACTCCCTGCATTTGAGGCCAGCAGCAGTGAGGACAATTGCAAATCACTTTCAAACTGCTGTGGAGGACTGAGAATAGAAACAGCAGTGATACAGAAATGTCTTGCCATCTGAGATCTCTCCAAATGAATCAAGGTGTGTGTATGTGTGTTTGGAAAAACGAAGAAAAATGTGCTGATCACTGATCAGCTGCTGAAAGAAAGAACCAAATAAAATCCAGGCTATGGAGAGCCGACTCAGCAAAAGTTGTAACCTCTCCATCCTATTTCCATGGTTCTTTTCCAGCCTATCAGACCTTTCCAAGTGTTTAGTGTCAACCTGAGCCAGCCTCATTTTCTCACATCTTCCCAACGCGGATGTGTGACCTACAGTCAAAACGTTGCTTTCTACCAGAGGGGTGAACGGGTCCCCCAAATGAGAGAGGAAGGAGGAAAAGCTCTGCCTTTAGAAAAAGTAACATTCATGAGAACGCACCATGGTAAAATGCAGGAAGTGGCATTGCTGTTCAGCGCAGAGCACGTTCTCATCTCTCTTCCTCCCTCTGCCAGCAAGCAGAGTGCATGGAAAGATACGTGGTGGGACTTGTAGTCCAACTCAGGCAATCAGAACGACGGCGCATTTTGGAAAGACCACCGGGCAGCCGCTCGGCTGTTGACTCGGAGCCGTCCAGAGGCGCTCCGAATGAAGAGAGAGCAGGAGGGCGCGGGGGGACCACCAAAGAGCGTTTCTCCCGCGTACGGGGGGGGGGCGGGATGTCCAGGAGGCCAGTGGCGTCGCCCTTTTAAGAGGCGTGCTCCTCCTCCACGTGCTCACAGTGAGTGATTGAAATACATAAACAGAGCAGCAGCAGCAGCCGGGGCAGCAAAAGGAAGCCGCGTTGACCGATAATAACCTCGCTGCGCGGCGCCGGCGAGTTCTATATAAGGCGCATCTGGTTCAAAATCTCCTGCTTTTCTTGAGTCACGGGTAGGGGAGCGCGCAAGAGTTGAGGCGGCTGGTGCCTGCCCCCCGCTTTCCCCCGGAAGGCTGTCGGGAGTCGCCACCAGCATCCAGCTGTGCGGGGGACCGAAAGGCAGAGCCTCGATCAAACTGGCGAGCAGGTAAAGGGGGCGGGCAGGGGGAGCTTGCGGGGAGATCGCGAACGGGGAGGACGCTTCAAGGGGGCTGCTGCTGTTGCTGCCGCGAAGCCTGCCCGGGGATCGGCTCTCGGTCGGGTCCCGCTTCCGAAAGGGGGGACCTGCTTCCCGCTCCAGCCCCGCGCAACTCTGCACCGGCGTCGAGGCTCCTTTGGCTGAGGCTCCCACGTTGCTTCTGGCTTCCCGGTAGATTTCTAAAGGAGCCCGGAAGACGAGCAAAGCAGACTTCTGGGGGTGTCCGGAGTGCGCTTTCTCTCCTTCAGAGACTCTCGCATCCCTGGAACGGGGCTGATTTCCGGGCACACGTACGAATACATTCCTGCTTTGGAATGGTTTGCTGGCTGGCTGGCTTAATTGAACGGGGTGGCCGCCCTGGAAGGAGAGATGAGCTCCGAATAAGCCGCGCTGCTGGGCGACTGGTTTGCAAAGGAGGAAAGCAGTGCAGAAGCAAAGAGGCACTGGGTTGGCACCTTGGGGGAGAGATCTGGTTGTTTTTGGAGGTAGACAAAGCGGTGCCGTGGCGGGCGGGGTATTCCAATGAATGTGGAGTTCATTCTCTCTTTCTCTGAGTCAAACAGGGTGCATACATTTAATTCAGATGTAACCGTCTGTGTCGTACTGAAGAACTGCAAGGATCACGCCTAATCATTTCCTGCAACCCCCCCAGCCAAACTAGAAAGGCTCAATTCCTCCCCTACATTGCTGGACTACAGAGCCCTTCGTTCCCAGCCAGCCCTGCGGTAGTCATTCTGCATGGGCGTTATACCCGCTCCACGTGAAAGATGCCCCGGTCAGGGAAGGAATCCGATAGCGTCTTTGCAAACACAACCTGGCATGAAGCTTTTGGGAGAGTCCCAAAGCCCTCTTGATCAGGAATCTGTGGCCTGTTCACTCCGGATTTTTCTCCAGCTGCTCTCTAGGAAGACGCCTCCAGTCGGGGCTGTTGAGGCAAGGCAGAAAGAGGAAAAACTTACAGAGCAGCTCCAAGTCAGCAAGAAATGACCGAGAGTAACCTTGTTAGAGTGTGACAGCTTAATAAAAGCCATCAGCCTGGGAGTTGCACCCCTTAATTCGAGGGGGAAACTACCCTCATAAGGAATAATTCTATGAAAAGTTAGATACCAGGAGAAGCCATATAATGGGGTGATGGGGGTAATCATAGGGCATTCATTTTATTATTATTATTATTATTATTATTATTATTATTATTATTATTATTATCTCTGTTGCTCAGCTCAAGTCTATATTGTGAATCTCAGTGTTTCCTTCCCATTCTGAGTCAGTACTAAGCAAGACCAAAAGGATAGCTTTGCAGAATGAAAGGGTACTGAAAGTGTAAGGGCTTTTAATGTTTTATTTTATTACTTCTGATCTTTATGCCCATCGGTTTGGGGCCATCGTGCATGCTTGAACTGTAAATTATTGGAGCTTGGTATCATGCGTGTAAGGCAGTTTTAATGGATTTGGTTAATAGAAATCTCCTTTTATTCAGGATTAAAATGTCACTTTGATGACTTCTGTGAAACTGTAAATTAAGAATATTAGTTTGAGGCCACTCATTTGGACTCTGCTTCTGGTGATGGTATGGACACTGACTCACTCAGCCTGGTTCTAGTAATGTCTTCAGCTCCTCCACGGAGATCTGTGAACCCTCTGACACCATTCTCCCTCCTCATTTGTTATCTTCCCCTTTTTCTACTTCTCACAACCTTGCCAAGTCTGGTTGCTTTTTATCATCAAGCAACTGCTTGCCCCACATGCCCAAAGAATGCAAGTTTCTACTTGTTGATGATCACTTCAAGAGAATGGTCTTTATCTGATCCAGGACTGACTGCTTGTAGTGCATAGTACTCTTAACAGCCATCTCCAGATCCAGCAATCTTATTTCAGTTGCTCTTTGTCAGTGCCCAGCTTTCATGGCAATAATATTACTACTACATGAACTATTTTGATCTTTGTAGTCATAAAAATATCCTTCATGATCTTGTCTAAGTTTGTCATTGCCTTCCTCCATAGAATTAATCTCCCTACTTCTAAAGTGCACTGTCTATCTATCCTTGATCCCAAGAATACAAAATCATCTTCCATCTTCCCCTTTATGGATCAAACTTTTTCTTCTTCCTATTTAACGATGCCTACTTATCTCAAGTTGTTAGGGTTTCTGTCCCTAATTGTCAATTTTGGTTCTACAGTAGTTGTCAATTCTTATAATATATTCATGGTATAAATGTAACAGATGGGGTTCATATCCATTCTTGTCTCCCTCCTTAACCTATTTTGAACCACTCTGTTTTTCCAAACTCACTTCTTATCACTGCTTCTTGTTCATTATGAAAGTTTGTTAGAATAGTTCTGGCTTATCTATTAACCTTAATATATTCATCATATGTGAATATATTGTATTGAATATACAAATATATGGCATGATACACGCTGTCAAAAGCTTTGCTCTAGTCAATGAAGGTTAAACCTCTCATCATCTCGTTACAAATAGTCTCCAGTCTAAGAACGAGTTCCGTTCCCAAGGTCTGTCCTTAAATTGAATTTGTATGTAAGCTGGAACAGTATTATTATATAATACTGTATAAGTAGTATTATGTAATCAACTCAAACCATTATGTATTTAACTCAAATTTGGCTACAATAAGTTCCATTCTTAACTATAGGTCGTCTGTAACCCTTAACTATGGGCGTTCTTAACCCAGGGACTACCTGTGTTTCTATTATCCATCTTATGACAGTTGATATCATGTCCCTCTTCTTTTTTTGAAACCATTGTTCATCTGCTATTTCTTTGTCCATGCATGGCTCTATTATTTTCTGTAAGATCTTAAGGAAAATGTTGCTTGCCTGAAGAAATTAATTCAGTTGTTTGGCCATTTGCACTCTCTTTTCTTCTGTAAAAGTACATATTCTTTTCCATTCTCTGGGCAATGCCATCTTTCCCCAAATTTGTTGACTTAGAGTTGTTAGCATTTTAATTGCCTCTTCTGCAACATTAAACAATCCGTTGGCTATTTCATCTGCAGTGGTGCTTTCTTACAAAAGGTGTCTGTTGCTTATTGTTTCTACTGTGATCTGTTCCTGGATATATTCTTTCTCTGAAAATGTTGCTATCTTTTTTTGGAAATGATTTCAGTACAGTCTCTCATCTTCCCTTAAGCTCATTTGTCTCAACTGGATCTTTTCCATAAATAAATCTGTGTAGTCCTGCCTTAAAACAAGTTTGGTCTATTGGTCTAATCTGGACTAGGAGAGGGGAGACCTGAGTTCTAGTCCCACCTTAGGTATGATACCAGCTGGGTGACTTTGGGCCAGTCACTCTCTTTTAGCCCTAGGACGATGGCGATGGAAAACCACCAAAATACTGCCAAGAAAACTGCAAGGACTAGTCTGGGCAAGCATCAGGAGTCAAGACTGAGTTGAAGGCACGATATACAGTGGTACCTCGGTTCATGAACTTAATTCGTTCCACGATTCTGGTCGCGAACCGAATTGGTCGTGAACTGAATCAAATTTTCCCATAAGGTTCAATGTAAATAAGGTTAATCCGCTCTGAACCATATGTATTTTTTTTTTAAACCACAAAAATATGACACAAAGTACAGTACAGTATGAAGAGAGAGAACCACTAACCTTGCTT